CTGTCCTCTTAAACTTTACATGCATACTTTTGTCAACTTGACACTGCATTAATTACTTCTCTTGGACTAAAATTTTGAAATTGGGTAGTATGAATCTTCCACTTTCTTTTTCTTCTGTAGTATTCTGTTGGCTATTGGTAGATCTTTGCTTTGTCTTATAAATTTAGAATCAGGTTGCCAATAGCCACAAAATTGCATAGTGTGATTTTGACTGATATTTCAATCCATAGATTGATATATTAGTTTGGGAAGAAGTGATATTTAGTCAATAGAAAGTGTTTCAATTAATAAACACAGAATATAATTCTACTTATGTAGATATTCTGTTCTTCAATGTTTTACAGTTTTCTGCATATAAGTTCTGTATGTTTTTGTTAGAAGATACATGAAATTATTTTGTTGCTAAGAGTAATTTTGAAAATACTATTATTTTTTCTTTTAATCTCAAAATTCAATGACTCATTTCTAATGTATAGGCAAGCAACTGACTTTTGCATACTAATGTATTATGCAACCTTGTTATGCTCATTTTTTACATCAATAGTTTTTAATAAATTGATTCTTTGTAATTTTCCACTAAGTCAATGATGTCACACTAATAGAGATCATTTTTATTTCCTTTTTAATTGTACTTTTTTTTATGTTATTGCATTAATATCAATTCCAGCAAGAAATTGGAGAAGAGCGTTGGTTAAAAAAAAAAAGAAAAGAAAAGAAAAGAAAAGAAAACCATGCTTTTCATGTTCCTGACCTTAGAAGAAAAGCATCCTGCTCTTTATATTTATGGTAATATGACTCTATTCCTTTGTCTATGGATGTAGTGAAATACCTGGTTTAATTATCCAAGTTTAACCAGGTTTACAAACATGGTGGTTATCATTCTTTTTTATATATAATTTTTCATATTTAATTTTTCTCTTTATTCATGAGAGAGTAGATGTTAGTGAGAAAGAGAGTGAAAAAGAGAGGAATGAGCAGCCTCCATGAGGTCTGGTCATGCTGTGGTCCCCTCTGTCAATCAGCCAGTCTGTTGGCTGCTGGATACTCACTCTCATGCCCAGCATGCTCCAAGCTGAGCAGATCGCTTACTGAAACCCACAGTTGCCATGTGGGATCCAACTTCTTTTGAGCAGCACATTATCACTGTGCCATGGAGTCAGCCTATATATAATTATTTTTATACATTATTGGATTCAGTGTACTAATATTTGGCTAAGGATTTTTGCCTTTATATGCAGAAGAATTGGTTTTTGTCTTTTTTCTTTCTCATAATATCTTACCTAGTTTTGATATCAGTAACAGTATCCTCATAGGTTCACAGGCAAAGTATTCCTTCATTTTTCTATTTTCTAGACGAAACTCCAGATAATAGGTATAATTTCTTTTTTAATGTTTGGTGGGATTCACCAGAGAAAACACCTGGGCCTGGCACTTAATATTTGGAACAATTACTGATCGGTTGTGTTTCTTTAATGGATAGATACATGTGTATTCATATTAGCTACACTGCATCATAACGATATTAGTAATTTGTGCTTTTTAAGGAATTTGTACCTTTTAGGTAACGTGTCAGGTATGTGACATAAAGTTGGTCATAGGATTTCTTTACTGTTCTTTTCATTTCTAAGAGGTCAATGGTGATGGCCCCTCTTTTCATCTGTGACATTGGTTATGTTTTGTCTTCCATCTTTTTTCCTGGTTAACCTTGGGAAAAGTATATTAATTTTATTGATTTTTTTAATAAAAGGACTAATTTTTGGTTATGATGATTTGCTCTATTGCTTTAATTTCACTAAATTCTCTTCTATTTTAATTGTTTTTTTTTTTTTTTGCCTGTTTTAGGCTTGAATCACTTTTTTTCTCCAATTTTCTAAAGTTGGTGCATAGGTTATATATTTTAGAACTTTATTGTCAAATATGTGCGCTTGGGACCAGCAGTTAGCATAATGGCTTTGTCGCTGGACTCCCACAGAGTCAATCACAGTTCAAGTCCCAGACCCAGTGGCTTAAACTCACACTGGGTGCATGTTCGTGCATGCCCAAGATCCCGAGAGGAGAATGGGGAAGAAGGGATTGTGGCGTGGCCATTCCCTCTGGGGGGCGATTTCTTGCTTTCTGTCTCTCTGTCTCTGTCTCTCTGTGTCTGGGGAGCATGCATGCCCTGTAGCAAAAACCTCTAAAAAAAACAACAAAAATATTTGTGCTTAATGGTACAGACATTCCTCCAAGCAGAGGTTCCACCGAATGCCACAGATGAGTAGTAGTATTATTCTTATTTAATTCAACATCTGTTTTTAATTTTTTTTAATCTTTTATTGACTATG